CATCTTTAGTACGTATGATTTGGATTATCAATATAACATGAGTGAGACTCGTATCATTCTTGAAAGTTACCCTACTCAATAGAGTAGACCTTATTCAGTATATCATGACACATATTCTTATTTACATTATGCATGATGATAAATATGGAGGTTTTAAATTTTATCGACTAAACTGTATAAAGATATCAGATCCCGTTAGACTTGTAGCTATTACAAAAGTTTTATGCAAAATAGAATCAACTAAGATCGTGCGATTACATTATAGCAGCGAGTGGATGAGATTTAGCCTGATTAGAAGAGGGTCTTGCATTGGCACTTTCCTCTAACTCCTGTAATTTAGCGCGTAGTTTGGTTAATTCAGCTTTTTGCATGCCAATAATTTTTTTATCTTCACCGACAAATGGTTCTGCTGTAATAGAACCTTGCAAGCTGGCAATTCTATTATGACTAGTAGTATCACTACTTCCAATTGATCTTCTTGATTCATAGAAATTCTCTAGATCTTGTACTAAATTTCTTGATATCTTAACTTCACGCCTCAAATCATTAATTTCTCTGATTAGAGATACATTTTCCTGAAAACAAAAAAGAAATGTGTTAATTTAGGAGCTGCATTTTATAGCTACTCTTTTCAACAGTATTTATATTTCTAGCAACGGATAAGTTTCGGTACAGCCCCAACAATGAATTCTTTACTCTCGTATGTTGAGTTTTAAATGTATTATCTAATTCTAATCGTTCCTATTTATTATATTTACTTGTACGCATATTTGAGTGTCATAATTTAAGCGTAAAATTTCTACTACGTGACAACTGCTGCTGTTCATCGATAACTTTACTATATGAATAGGTCAAAATATTTACCTGCATAATTCGCACGTTATCAATTCGGTGTATTTCTGAATCCTTCGATAACTTTTTACGAAGAGAAGCAACACTACGTTCTAAATGTTCACGTTGTCTTGCGTGCTCTCTCTGGATATCATTATCCAAGTTGACAACATCTCTCTAGATAGATTAAGTAAATGGAATATTTAGGTTGAGTTATTCATTCATAAAGATTAACTATTCGTAAGTATGAATATTGAACAACTCCAAGCTATTACTTAAAAACTGAGAGCTCTAGCATCTATATTTGCTATATGTAATATTTACCGTTTCATTTTGTATAAACTTGTTATAGAGTCCAACAATGGTGTCTTTTAAAGGTTTTTGGTCTCCGACATTGCTGTAGCAATCGTGTAAATCAACCTTGAATCTTCTTAAAGTGGCTTCGCTATCTCGTAACTAATGAATGGTTAATAGAAAGACAGCACAACTGGGTTAGCACTATCTAAATAATTTCAAGGATCTTCTATCTCATTCTTATGGAATATTTACTCCAATTAAACGTTACATGGAATGATTAAAAATTGGCCTTGTGAGCATTTTACAAAAGTAACAATGGTATAATCTATGTGCAAAAGTTTGTTTCTTACCCGCAGATTTTCTGTATTTAGTTCCTTATCCGAAGCTTTCAGTTTTAATCGTAGCTCAGATATGTTTAAATCGAGAATCATGTTTTGTTTGTGGAATCTTTCCAATTCATTTTCCATCTAATCGAAACAATCAAATTCTAAATTAACTTTATTTAGCTTGTGATGTCATAATGGAATCGCGAGAAGAATTTACAAAGCTAAAATCTGTGGCTGCTTTAGTATCTTGTAATGCATTTCTACTCAACTTTAAATCATCCAGTAATTTAGAAAATATCATTACTACTTAGATATACAATTCTTTACTACTCTATTGTTTAATTTCAAATTATCATGTTACAGTGAAGAAAAACCTATATAAACTAAGACTAGGTGCTATGCTATAGTACTCTGAATGCATTTTCAAATTATAATCTCAAGCAGTCATATTATGAAGAGCTTTCTTAAATATTGCTTTACTGCGCTATAAATCAATCTCGATAGATTGGTGCTATATCATAATTTAATCTATCGTTATAATAATTAATACTACTGTTCACCTCTTGAATTTGTTCTTTCATAGATGTAATATCATTCTCACGCGGTTCAATTTGTTTTTTCAATTCTTTAATTTTATAATCTAATACAAATTTAAATTTTTCCAATTCCTGATTTTTCTTTTTCAGATCATAAATTCGTTTTTCCTAAAAAAATGTTGTGGGTTTAGCGCTACATTCTTGTAAATGAATATTCTTTTAGAGACGGTATTCAAATATACATAGTGGCAGATTCACTAGGAAATTATCCATCTTATATCAGTGTTTACCTTATCCTGGATGGTTTCATCTCGTTCTTGAATTTCTTTTTGCAATCCTGCAATATCTTTCTCTAAGGATTTGATGATATTTTGTAATTTCACTTGTTCGCCTTGATTACTTTTGATGTTGGATTTGTGTTCATCAATTTCTTTTTGCAGTGAGGAAAACTATCATCATAAAAGTAAGGTTTAACGTAGGATATGTTTTCAGTTATATAAAAACTATTTTCAAATTTCAACGCATAGTTCTTTATCGTTCAGTAGCAGTATCGCTACCATTTCCTTACAAAATAATTTATTACCCATGCTAGCTAGAATTGCAGTCTAATATTGCTAAGATTATTTACAACTCGTCTAATATCTAAACTACTTAAATATTAAGTTTGATTATGGCCGCAATGGCCAACGTATAGTGTATAAGTTGGAAGTTTATAACTTTTATGTAATCACTTTAAAAGAAGAGTAGCCATCGTTCATTGATCAACAAATGTAGTATAATCAATAACTGCTAACATTAATTTAAACTTTTGCGCTAATTTTATTTAATGTTATCGGATTATCTTTGAATTATTCTATAACTGAGTTTCATATATATCAAGTTTTATTATAATCATCGACAGAAAAGTATCCTATACAATTCCCTAGCTTATAATAGACTGTTTGAGCATGATTATGATATGGAACGAAATTTTCAACGCGATACTTACTCGTTGTCGCATTTTTTTAGTATCTTCTTTTAATCTTTTATTGGAATCGCCTTCATCTCGTAGTCGTCGTTCATATTTGTTCTTAATATCTAGAATTTCTCTTTCTGAATCTTCTTCAATCAGTCTCTTGATTTCTTCATATTCTCTGGTCAATTTCTGTTGTTCACCATTAGCCTAAAGAATAAGCTAGTGATTAATGATAGATCGAGAATAGATCATATGCTATATAAATGTCGAAAAATTTTGAATGAAAAGGTCGATTTATTCATTACTTTTGTTATTAATTTTTATGTCATCACTTACATCTTCTAATTGACCTGTTTTATCGGTTAATTTATGCTCATAATATTGCGTTAATTCCTGCAATGCCTGTTCTTTCGATTCTTCCATTTCGTTTAGTTGGCGTTCATATTCCTAAGTAACGATTATTAGAATTTAGTAGCAAGGCTTTTACAAGATAATTAAAGTAGTCTATAGAGTTTTTAAGTACTAGTATTGTGGATCGTTTAATTTGAAGTGGATTAAAAAACTCACTTAAAAGGATCGATAAAATGCTCAAGTATTTAGCTTTGTTACCTCTTGCATTTTCTGGCTCTTGGACTGTAATTCTTGATACTTTTCATATTCTGACATTAATTTTTGACTATTGGCAATTTCTATTGCGATAATAAATGGAAAATGGACTATTTTTTAAACTAGAATCATACATTATGAGGCATAGATTAAATTAGATGGTAAATTAGTAGGAAAGAATATTAAAAGTTAGGCTTACCTGACTCCTGTACTTCTTCGTTATGCTTTTCTAGGATGTCGTCGACTTGTTCATTATAGCGCTTATCTTCTTTTTCCTTTTCCATTTTTAAAGTTTGATTTTTAATTTTTAATGATTCCATTTCTTGAATAAATTTCTCTGTCAGTTCTTTAATTTTTTCATTATAGTTCATATCTTTTAATCGTAGTTGATATTCATTCTCCATTTTTAATTCATCCACTCGAGTTTTTAAATTAATCATCATTGCATTCTAAAATAGTTTAAGGTTGAAGAAGTAGCCATTTTAATTTTTAACATTATTTTATAGTGCATCAACTCGATGTAGTGTATACATATTAGTCTAGAGATATATTTTAAAACTAGGGCAATGCACATAAAACTGAAAGGTCTTAAATTTCTCGTCATTATTACTTCGTATAGTATTCCAATGATTAAAGACTAAGCATTTTGAATTTCAAGATAACTATATATGGCAAAGACTTTAATTTTATTATCATAATGTAGAATCACACGATATTATAAGGGTCAAAGAATAGATTTTGAATTTTTATGTTATGGTGGTCGAATTAAAACATCGTCTAGGTCAAGATTGATCCATGATATTTTTTGATGCAGTTAAGCCAATGATCATGAAAATAAGACTAAACCCTTAGACGACTTAATACTTTTATCGTGATGTTCTGAACTAGTTTAAGGATAAAAATAATAACCATTTCAATTTCCTAGTCACTCTGTATCGACTAGATAAGGGAGTTGAAGAGCAGCTATTTTTAAATTACTTTCCCATCACACCTAATGGCTCTACGTATGTTCGTTATGGACTTTTCTTGGAGAAATTAAGGAATACGCGTGACAGAAAATTTTATAAGTAGGCGACCTTACCTTTCCTTGCAAATCGCGTTTCGTAATTAATATCTCTTCGGCATGGGTGATTTCCTTATCTCGCTTTAAGCCACGTCCATCTTTATCGATAATTTTGTAAATGTAGAAACTCCCATCTTCGCTAGCAGACAGCAAGTAATTATCATCGGAAGAAATTTTCATCTAATCCAATATCAGTAAAACAATGTTACTAGAGAGCTTGACGATTGAAATCAACCATAATCTATGTACAAGGTATACTATTATCGCTCACTACTAATTCTGACAATTATATATGGTATCATAACGATCAATAACGAATGAAATATGTTATTCACTAGCTTTAAATGAAGCTTTTTACGTATCAAGGGTTGTAAAATAAATTAAAGTTAAGTGCTTACCTTAGTAACGGCAGCGCTGTGTGCCTGATATTCTTGCGAATCGCCCGATGGAGTTAAGGGATATTTGATTGAGCGGATAGTACCTAAATTGGTAGCTCCAAATAACATTCGAGAGCTGTTGGAGAGGACAACTTGGGTGAAGATTGCTTCACCAGTTTGGATCTCCCGTAAAATTTGGGAGTCACAAATTTCCTTCAAAGTACGATCTGATCCAACAGCATAAACTGTGCGTCCTTCAGATGCAATAACAACATCGGAATAGCTACAAGTCTTTAAAACGTTTTCACTTTCACGTTTTCCTGTAATTAATGACCATTCACAAATAGCCCCATCCATGCCACAAGAAACAATCTTGCTATCCTCAGCATTAAATCGCACAGCTTTAACCTAGGTATAAATTAGAATTTTGTCGACTTTTATTAAAATACCGACGGAATATTTTTGAATTTCTTCCCTTTAAACAGAATCTGAAATATTTTATTATCTAAACTAATTGTAAATAGTACTTTAAGAAGGCTCATTAAATTATTTTATAATGCAATAACCATTCATTCGGCTATGGTAAACTACATCTATATATCAGGGATCAGAAATTTACCCTACTGATACTGCTCTACAAGAAATATGTAGATTACATCAAGTACTTGTAATTATAACTTCTAAGAATACTATGATATTTATTATTTAACATATAGATGGAAAGAATAGTGATTTTATCGGATTTACACGATATAGAATAAATTATTTGATAATGAAATACTCGATCGTTATTGTTGGCATTTACCTTGCCGTTATGGCCTTTCAAGTTCATGACATTTTCAAATGTAGATGTCGAGTAGAGTTGAACAATATTACCATGAACTGCAGCGAATAGATGGCCTCCATTACTAAATGAACACTATCCAATGTAGGTAATCAAGAATAAAAATGTTTAAGAAGAGCTCATGCTTATCTATTTAAAATATCTCTAATTGATTATCCTGTACACTTGCTATGAAACTAATAGTAAGATAAAATACTAACAAATCTTAGGTAAGCGAATTAGTAAATAATTTTATATTACCTCGCGACAACCACGGATGGTAAACTCTTTAAAAGAGCTAATATCATCAATTAGCAGATTCATTAGACGAAGTTTATCACTAAATCCAACTAATACGTATAAACCGGACGGGTGCAAAGCAATACTGAAGGCTTCTTCCTGAAATTCCTTGTATAATTCCAATGATCTAAGAAAAGTTATGGGACCGTGGTTAGGTTTTATCGTTTACTCTCTATTATAAACAAACAGAAATGGTATTTTCCTACTAAAAGTGTACCTCAAATGTAAGTTATCTACAGCTTTAAGTAAAGGAATGTTTTAAAAATAGAAACACACTTAAAAGTGTGTTTAGCATTGATTTAAAACTAAACTCGATAGTATAAGTCAATAGAGTCTGAGAGAATTATGTCAATCTAGTTAATTGCAGGCATCGTGACTTCTTTTGCTTACCCAGTTTCGTAATTCCAAATTCTGACTGATCGATCCATCGAGCAGGTAGCGACAAGGGGTTTACGTACGCAAATATCAAGGCCACTGATAACATGATGATGAAAGGAGCAAGAAAGTAACTCAAAACTAATAATCTCCCCCTATTAAAATAAATGGATGTTTACTCATTGAAAACAGATACTTTTCTTCTATTACTTATACTTTACATACCTTGGCCATATCTGCTGATGATAGAGAAATGGTATAAAGTTGATTGTCGCTACTGCTACAAATTAAATTTTCTTCCGATGGGCTAATAGTTATAGTTTTAATACTAGGTGAATGTTTAACTGTTTCCTCTTTTCTCAAGGATGATGAAGGTAACGCCATTTCTCTCGTCTTTCTATAAGTATCTTTTTCATCGGTTTTCTCGAAAGTATACGCCGATCCATTCGCACAACCACATATAAATCCTTTAGTATAACTAACGATACTGTGAATAGCTAAGCGATCATCAATTATTTTATCTTCCATAATTGTATTTGTCGTCGATCTAAGACCATTTCAGATAGTAAATTCAATAATTAATTTTAAAGCAATATTTTTCTACGGTCCAAAGTTTGAAACGATTAGTATCTTAAGACAAATTAACCTTACCGCTGGCGTGATTCGGCAGTCGGACTAACGATGCTAAATTCATTTTTTAATTCACCGGCTTCTAGTAGAAGTAATCTACCAGAATCAGTTCCAACGATAATTTTGTCATCACTCAACCAGCTCTGACTTAAATAGTTTTGTGGATCCATTTTTAAGAAAGCAAACTGCTTTAAATTGCCTTCATTATAACGAAATAATTTAAATATTCCGCTTCCAGTTACGCAAACTTGAGAATTATCTTGAGGATTGAATGTAACCTAATTGGTGTTAAGTTAATCCAGTATTAATATTAAAATTTCATATCATGTGTGCCTAAAAAATGATGGTGCAGCTCTAACAAGCAATGAAATTCTACGTTAAAAATTATCCTACTCTATCTTAAACAACCCTGGGGATTATGTTTTATTTTATAAATCATTTGATCATCCATCAATTTCAAACGATGCAAAATTTATAGCTTTAGACAATAATTATTAGATATGATGAATCAAATATTTTTTAGTAAATTTATCGTCAAAGCGTTGAAAGTGTTATGTATTTCGAATTCTATCTAGAATATGTGGATTAAATATTACGCGTATATATATACATATGCGAACTTCGTTGACTTTCCATTCTTAAAAACGTTCATTATCACATCTCAAAACGAATTAAACTGTCATTATTTTAATTTTAGATTATAATACTACTAGCAAACATAATCAAGTATATACAAGCAGTTGCAATGTAATCAAGGATGACGATCCCAATCTAATGATCTCGCTCAAATTTTAAATAAATCTTGTATTTCTTGCAAGTTGAATTATTACCTGATAAATTGTGGCATTGTGCTGATTAGTTGTCTTGACGCAAGCTAATGGTTTCGATTTTTCCCATGTCCAATAAGTTAATGTCCAATCGGGCTTACCACTCTGTGTTACTAGATATTTAGAATCTGGTGAAAATGCCATGCTAACGTACTCATTAGATGTACATTCCGGTAATGTTAAGACCTTCTTTCGTTTTAAAGAGTGAATATCATAGATATTGATGGTAGGCTTATCTCCTCGTTCAGCAATAGCAACATAGCGCCTATTCGTACTAACAGCAATTGCTGATGTGTACTGACTTTTCTCCGATCCAATGATAAATTTTTGACTTCTTTGATCGACATTATAGACAACGCAGTTCGATCCAACAGGGTAAACGATGGATTGCTCGTCTAAATAGCTAACTGTGTCTCTTAGATCACCTTTTAAGCCAAATACGTAACGATGCGATAATTGTGCTAAAGCCATCTTTACTCTTGAATACGATAATTTAAAAAGATTGTAATAGTTATCAACCTGTTATTACAGTATTAACAATCAGTAAACTAAATTATGTCTAAGTAATGATGGACGATAATTAGTAATCGCTTAGCAGCGAGGCAAATGCCAAAATTTTCTATCAGTTATTTTTTTACCAAGTACAGTAAACCAATACAACATTAAATATATCAAGAAACTGTTGAAAAGGAGGCAGTAACTTGATTTCATTAACTGTATTACAATATTTATCCAATCACGGATAACAACAGGTAGTCACTAACGGTAACTGTTGCTAGGTAACGACATTAGATTTATAATTTTGTTATTTAAATTTATTCATATTGAACATCATGGAAGGATGTAATAGTCTAATTAATTACTTGAATAAATTAAACTGAATAATAGACAGTTATAGTATTGACAACACTGAATTTGAGAATACTATCTTGTAAGGAGATATTTGGTATGTTTGCGTTATGGTATAGCGTAAAGCAATTTAGAGTTGTAGTCATAAGTCTCTACTTTATTTTCTCGGACGAGATGAGTGTATGAATTAAAGTGCGGATATACTCGTAGCTAACAGTTTGATATTCTACTATGTAGTTCAATTGATATCTTATATCGAGTTCATCTCGCTAACACTACTTTGAAGCATCTGAATTCTTCGAAACAGCTTTTACCTGAAAATAGCCTCAATCGATATCCTAAGAGTTTTCTAATATTTATAAGCCTATATATAGCATTTATAACTGAGCATATAAAATTATACAGTATTCGATATATGTACATAGGTAATATCAAACGATATTAAATTAACCTTTAAGTTATAGCATCTTAACCAAGTAAAAGTTAAGATTAAAGAATCTTAAAATCAATGCGTTCTCAAAGTATATTTTATTGTATTTAGTCTGTCATCGAGTATATTAATATACATTATATTATAATCATGTTTAAAATTGTCGTTCGTTATAAAGAAAACAATAAGTATGTTAAAGGAAGAATAATGGCAATCTTTAAACATATTCATGATGACCACCGATCTGAAACCGAAAAGACTAATGGTTTCTACAAATTTACTACAATTTCATAGGGATAAAGTGCAGATACGCTATCTGAGGCAATATTACAACTTGTATCATATTTTACAGCTAGCTTTAAATAGGGAAACTCCATTTAGCTTAGAGTAGATACATTTACAGATCTTAAGATAATAAATATCAATGTTTTTATTTCTATTAGAAATAATACTGTTGTATTATAGTCGTTTTAATGCATTAGAGCTTAGTTTCTATAATCGTTTTTATATTTCTGATCATCTGTCTTGCATCATTGGGTAATATTTAAATCAGTTTCCAATTAGAATGAGAAACTTACAATATATAATCCTATTTATCCTATTTGAATCATTACTGTGCCGTAATTGAAGGTAAATGACCATTAGACGGAGGTCTGGTACTAATATGTTCTTCAATTTCTTGAATTTGGATTCTTAATTTGGCAATTTCAGCTTTTTGCATTTCAATAATTTTAACATCTTCTTCTCGTGTAGTTGCCTTATTTTTGTTAGTCATCGTTTGAGATGCTTGTGTCGCTAACAATTCTACACCTGTTCCTTTACGAACACCTAATGCAGCTTCAAGATCATTGATTTGTCCTCTTGAAAGTTTGAGTTCTTTCCTCAAGTCATTAATTTCTCTGATTAATGCGACATTTTCCTGTCAACATAAAAATCAAATTGTAAAAATTCAAACCTCATGGTAACTTTTCAGTGTAACAGTCAAAATGCAAGATCATGGTAATTATAAACTACTATCTTTGTCATTACCTGCATGATTTTGACATTATCAACTCGATGGATTTCAGAATCTTTTGATAGTTTTTTCCGTAAAGACGAGACGCTACGCTCCAAATGTTCTCTTTGCCTGGCGTATTCACGCTGAATATCATTATCGATGTTGGCTGCTTCGGGCTAAATGGAATTCGATAAGAAAAAGCGTTAGTTATTTAATTAAGTAAATATTTAAGCGGTATTATCTTTGATTAAAGAAAGAGTAGTAATATATTAGAAAAGATGTCTTTAATATGAGGCGTACACTTACCGTATCATTTTGGACATATTTATCGTATAAATTCTCGATTGAGAATTTTAATTTATTGGGATCTTGTATGTATCGAACGCAATCGTGTAAATCAACTTTGAATTTCTTTAGCAATGCTTCACTATCACGAACCTGAAATAGATTATCGGTACGTTTATGTTAACGCATACCTTCGTTTAAGTAATCGATAATTTCTATCATTATTTTTTTATTGCTCTTTTTTGGATTTAAATATTTAAATGTTACTTGTATCGAACAAATAATAACCTTTTGCCTGGCGATCCTTAATTCTTTGTCGGTAGCTTTTAGTTTTAATCGTAATTCAGAGATATTTAATTCTAAATTGATATTTTGCTTATGGAATCTTTCCAATTCACTTTCCATCTAAATAAAGATTAACACACATTAGATATATCGATTTAGTATTAGAAAGAAATTATAAGGTGCAGTATAACTTAAAAAGTTTTAATTTTCTGCAAATTGATTTGCACTGAGTTATTAGCATTTGAAAACAGATATAATTACTTCTTGGATCTGTTCTTTCATTGCTTTGATATCGTTTTCCCGTGGTTCTATTTGCTTTTTAAGCTCTTTGATTTTATAGTCTAGTACAAATTTAAATTTCTCCAATTCTTGATTTTTCTTTTTTAAGTCGTAAATACGTTTTTCCTATTAAAAATTATTAATTTCAATATTATTTTTAAAGCCGACAACCTAATGATACAGGGGCCTAATATAAAAGTAATAGGACTAACTTTGTCTTGAATCGTTTCGTCTCGTTCTTGTATTTCTTTCTTTAGACCGGATATATCCTTTTCCAAAGATTTAATTATATTTTGAAGCTTAACGCGTTCTCCTTGTAGTTTTTTAATCTCTTCTTTATGCTCGTCAATCTCTTTCTGCAGACTAGTAAACTGTAATAAATTGTCATAAAAGTTAATAAGTTATACCTACAATCAACTAGAAATAGCTACTATCAGTCCACTTTCAATAGTTTACCTTCTTTCTCATTATTCCAGTTTCTCCTTTCAGCCTCAAATTAGCTTCTTTTTCATCGCGTAATCGGCGCTCGTACTTATTCTTTATATCAACAATTTCTCTATCGACATCTTCCTCAATTTGCCTCTTCGTTTCATCATATTCTCTTGTTAGCTGCTGTTGTTCCTCATTAGCCTATATGATACAAACAGGTACATTAATAATCTTATTTAGCGCCTAAGTCTCAATAACAATTCTTGAAATCCCATTTTAAGGTCCGATATTTACCTGTTCCAATTGACTAGATTTCTCTTGTAGTTTATTCTCGTAATATTCTGTTAAATCCTGTAGGGATACTTCTTTAGATTCATCCATTTCATTTAATTGGCGTTCATATTCCTGATAAAATTACACAGAAAAATTATTTATCCGAATATTTCTTTACCATTTTTTAGTGCGATAACGAGATATTTCAAAAGCCATTTCAAACCTCCTGCATTTTTTGACTTTTAGCTTGTAATTCTTGGTATTTTTCGTATTCAGACATTAATTTTTGATTATTTGCCGATTCTAATAAATAACATTACAGCAATATTGCAAGTTGAGATTGCTGGTTATTGATATGCCTTCTGTCATGTTGTATATCTTATTTACCAAGATCTTGCAATTCTTTAGCGTGATCTTCTAGAACGTCGTGTATTTGTTCTTCATGTCTCGTTTCCTCTTTATCCTTTTCAGTTTTCAGAACTTGATTTTTTGTTTTTAATGATTCCATCTCTTGAATGAATTTTTCTGTTAATTCACGAATTTTTTCGTTATAATTCATATCTTTTAATCGTAATTGATATTCATTTTCCATTTTTAATTCATCAACTCTCGTTTTTAATTCTGTCATCATTGCATTCTATAATTAAGTGAGCAGATCCTTTAGTATTTTACGATCCAAACTATGGTATGTAAAATAATTAGGCTACGAAATATACGACAAGCTTACTTTTTCTTCAAGGTCTGATTTAGTAATCAATATTTCCTCAGCAAATGCGACTTCTTTGTCCCGTTTTAATCCTCTACCTTCTTTTTCGCTAATTTTGAAAATATAGAAGCTTCCATCTTCACTTACTGAGAATAGATATTGGTCATCATACGAAATTCGTAGCTAAAATTTTAGGATTTGATCCAAAAATTGATTAGCGTGACATGTTATATGATAAATAATACTAGTTCAATAAGTTGATTTGTTACCTTTGCGACTCCAAGGGCATGAGCTTGATATTCTTGCCATTCTCCTGTTGCAGTTAGCGGATACTTGATTGATCGAACTGTACCATTGTTGGTACCAGCAAATAACATTTTGCCGCTATGAGAAATAGCTACTTGTGTAAATACAGCATCTCCAGCATGAATATCACGAAGAATTTGAGAATCGCAAATTTCTTTTAGCGTATGATCAGTTCCAACAGCATAGATAACCTTCCCCTCAGGTGATACGGTTACATCTGTATAGCTACAAGATTTCAAGACACTTTCTCCTTCACGTTTACTTGTGAAAACGGACCACTCATACACAGCTCCATCCATACCACATGAGATGATACTTCCATCATCGATACTCCAACGTACTGAGCGTACCTTTAAAATTTTTTAAAATGAAAGTTTTCAATATCTGTACAGTATATAAATACATATATATGATAACGTATCGATTCTGTTAATTTAATTATCAGATAAATTACCTTTCCATTATGTCCTTTTAGGTTAGTAACGTTATCAAAAGTTGTTGTTGAATAAACTTGGATAACATTACCATGTACGGCAGCAAAGAGGTGACCTCCATTACTAAATGAGCACTGTAGACGGCAAATTAAATAGAAACTCAATAAGATAAATAAACTTAACACACAGCCTGGTAAGTGTTTATTGTTGATATTATATCGTATATGCTGTACAAACGTATAAACCAGAAATTGCAAAAGAGTATTAGGTAGCAGTTATGAAAAGTTACCTCGCGACAACCACGGATAGTAAATTCACGAAATGTGCGAATATCGTCAATTAAAAGATTCATCAGACGTAATTTATCACTGAATCCGACTAAAATGTATAAGCCTGAAGGATGGACAGCTACACTGAAGGCTTCTTCCTGAAAGTCCTTATGCAATTCTAACATTCTATTGTATTATGGTTGAGAATCGTTAGTAAAATATGGTTAACTTTGAAATCATTTTTCATAGAGAAATAAGACTTGATAGAAAATGAAACTTACCCAGATTCAAAATTCCAGATCCTAACTGACTTATCCATAGAGCATGTTGCAATTAAAGGTTTGCGTATACATGTATCCATGCCAGTTATTGCATCACGATGAAAGGGAAATGTTAAGACATCAAACCGCGGTATATCACCCTAAAAGAAGTTAAAAAATTAATTTAGGCGATGTTGCTATCCTATATTACAGTTATTGATCAATAAATCAGCAAATGTCTATCTACCTTTGATATATCAGCTGTAGATACAACAACTGTATAAAGTTGATTGTCGCTAGTGCTACAAATCAAGTTTTCTTCCGATGGGCTTAAAGCTAAATGTTTTATTTCAGGGATGCTTGAATCAGGAGTATCGGCATGCTGAGTATCAATTGGAAGCCTAATTTCTTTCAATTTTTTATAGGAATCTCTTTCTTCACCTTTTTCAAATATATAAGCCGCACCACTGGCTGTACAACAAATAAAGCCCTTTTCATATGTAACGATATCATTAATTGGAGTTTTATCTTCATGTTTAGCATCAGTTATCTGATCTATCGTTGGCCTATGCATTGTAGAAAGTAACAAATATTAGCAATATTCATTAGAGAGGCATTTATCTCTCATGTTTTATGACCATGATATATATATACGTATATATATACTGTATATATTTTTAAGATAGCATGAGTGATTTATTAGGATTATTCTATTACTCAAAAATTATTGCCGATATACCTCGATTTAAAATCTGATGCAGAGGTAGTAAGTGTAAATTCATTTTTTAGCTCGCCAGCTTCGAAAAGGAATAATCGACCTTCGTCCGTACCAACAATGACTTTATCTTCCGTAACCCATGACTGGCATAGGTAATTGTGCGGTTCCATTTTCAAGAAAGCGAATTGTTTAAGATTACCTTCACTGTAGCGAAATAGCTTAAATATACCATTGCCAATAACACATAATTGTGTATTATCCTGTGGGTTGAAGGTTACCTTTATTTTGAAGAAATGAAATGTTAATTCTTTTTAAAACGAAGGCTATCGTTATTATGGAAGTCATGTTAACAACGTATTGTATTATATTGAGATTGAAATAGTCTAATTTAAAATATATTGTAGACATGTTATGGTATTACTAACTTGATAAATTGGTGCACTTTGTTGATTTGTTGTTTTCGTTGTGGCCATTACTTTGGACTTTTCCCATGTCCAATACAGTAATGTCCAATCGGGTTTTCCTCCTTGTGATGCTAAATATTTTGAATCTGGAGAGAATGCCAAACTAACATATTCGCCGAAGTTGTGATCTGCACTACTAAGAATCTTTCTTCGTTTCAAAGTATGTAAATCATAAATGGTAATAGTTGGTTTATCGCCTCGTTCGGCGATAGCAATATAGCGACGATTAGGACTGATAGCAATTGCAGTCATGCCTTGGCTTTTATCAGAGCCAAGGATAAATCGTTGAGATTTCTGATCGATATGGTATAAAATACAGTTTGAACCAGCAGGATAAATAACAGTTTGCTCGTCGAGAAAGTTGACATTACTAGTCACTCCGCCTTTGATACCAAAGACGAAGCGATGCGATACAACAGCAGTTGCCATGATGAAATCCTTGGAATTAACGGTGTTGGCCAATTACTGTTAAGATTTTTTAAATTATATTAATGATACGTAATTTAACGATCGATGGTAGGATTCCTGTACAACGTAAGATGAGTTAATTCAAATTTTTTAAAGAGAAAAATAAATTCAAGGAAGTACTGAATGTATGTAGTTGTAGGGTATTTTAACTCCTATTACTCTTACTATTGAACGTTAGCAATATACGAATAATTCAGTGGAATGACTTTATATCTTGAAACGCTTTACAGAAGAACATAGCAACGGTTGCTATGAATTTGATATTTTCATAATACTGTCCTTTACCGTAAACTCAGATCTAACTGTACTGTACACTGTACACTGTACAAGTGTACTGTACATTGTACAAGTGTACTGTACAGTACAGTATTACAGTATAATAGTACTGTACCTTCACTGCGAAATACAGTACTGTACTGAACGGTACCAATGAAACCTACGTACAGTACGGTATCTTCAGTAGAGTCATGGACTGCTACGGTAGAACTGCAGAAGAAGACCTGGGCTGATCACTCTTGGACGGACAGACGCTTTTGACCTCATCTGGTCATAATATTGTCTTCTTCTAGTAGTCCCATGTAGACCTGAGAAAGGTTCGGTTCAAACCGTTTGATCTATATACTCCCATGGTCCAGTTTATCGTAGCAGCGAATTTGGATATCTGTTGCGGACGGTATAATGTACAGTTGCACGTATATGCTACAGTTGGAATAAGCAGTAAAATGAGCTTTCACATTATTAGGAAAGCGAACGACAGTTTCTGTCTCTCTCTCTTTCGTTTTTTTTAGCTGATGTAGTGCAGTGTTCGATGGTTTGAGTCGCAGATTCAGATTCTGGTAGATACTAGATACAGTAGTATGATAGAATTTAGAAACACGAGTACAGTATAATTATACTAAATGGAGAGTCCTGCTGTGAACTATGAATGGTTGTCCAAGGACTTAACATGCTATCATCATCATCATTATCATCATATGCTGTACTAAATATATTAAAATAATTTTGTGTCGCTTGCGTAACCCTTATCCAGACCAATCAGAACGTACGATATACGACCAATTTAAATACCACTGTCATCATCATCATCATCATATATATATAAATAATTTTCCCTATATATGAAAATAATTTTGTGTCGCGTGCGTAATCACTATGCATATTTTCGCCAGCGAAGTCGGCGGACTCAAACTCGTATCTATTAAAGTTTCTTCCTCATTAGTGATCTTTTTGTCGATTTCTGGACTATCACTGGATAATAGCTATAGTATAGCTTGGGAGCTAAAGAGTTAATAATTAAGATTATTTCATTTTATCGGGGTGATTTATTGGCAATATTAAATTTCTATATTGTAATTTATATCACTTCCTAGTATGTAGTTCACGTTAATTTTTCTGGTTATTGCGACAAGATCTGCAGTCCAATCGCAATTTCGAATTCATATAATATAAAGTTTCTAAATTTTTAATTCAACGATGTTTTGATCGACCTTCGGTCGATTACCTACTTACTAAGTACTGTTATTATGATTTAATCGAGTATCTGACCACTGATCATGATGCGGGTATACTGTACACTGTACAGTTACACTACAGTATTATTTTCCATTACATTAATGTGCGTAGAACATGACTTAGTAAGTATAGAAACTACAGCTGTAATGTGCTCTGCAGTCTATCAGGAGTCCACGATTGGATGAAGAGGTCTTCTACTGGTTGCAACAGCGTAACGACTTACTCAAAGAGTGCATGCCTTATTTAATAATTTGCAAAGTTGAAGTTATCTTCTACTGGTTGCAACAGCGTAACGACTTACTCAAAGAGTGAATGCCTTATTTAATAAATTGCAAGAAACAGCTAAATTGCAAGAAACAGCTATCAGCAAGAAACAGCTATCAAACTAGAAACCACTCCTGAAACTAGAATGTTCGTACAGTCACGTACACTCGTACAGTACTGTACACTGTACAGTACTGTGTACTCTGTATTGTAACAATGGCAAGTCACGTACTGTACTGTACAGTACAGTGTACAGTACTAGATGAAACAAGAAATATCAAATTGTACTGTACTGTACATTACCGAGATTAATAAATGACTGTTCAAGTGTCAACACGATGGCCAGCATGAGCAGGTGTTTTACTGGTGTTGCACCAAAAGAGATTGTGGATGCATATGTTTAATTCAACATACACACATAGCTGCACTGAGAGGATTATGGTAGAAAAATCTTTCCCATTTTTTAACTGTTTGGATTGATGGATTAATAACTTATATGATTATTAAAGCGATACGAGCTTAGGCTAATACAACCCTTCATCATCGTACTGTACTGTATATCGACAATTGTTTACGGCAGATTTTTGATTGCCCCGTGGTTATTAGCTGTCTTGGTGGTTGTTGATGTAAACTCCAATCGCCGTCATTCTGATCAAGTTGGTTGATTGATTTTAGAGCAATATTGTATTTGGATCGTTAGATCTTGGCGGATATTAAATTAATGATAAGAAATAAAAAAATGGATCAGAAAATTAAAATTGGTCATTATATTCTTGGTAATACGTTAGGAGTTGGGACTTTCGGAAAAGTAAAACGTAAGTTTAGACAACTTAATTCCAGCACATTTTGGATGCATTGACTATCGTAGCTTCTGTAAAGTGCAACTATCAGTGCTATAATAAAAAAAAATTCAATATGTCCGTATAGAATTAAATCCGTAATGCTTTCATGCCATGATCCGAAACCTTTAGAGGAAAACAGACACTTTATTCTCAATCGAGACTGATTGGCATAATTCTAATTAAATGGAGATGGCCAACTTTGATCGTTTTACGTATTTTGCACTATCATGGAACGCACAAAACGTGCACAACTAGGCAGTCTATAATGCCTAAGTCTATCATTGATAGTCAAATTAGATCCAGCATCGATTGCCAGCTCTCTAGGAATCTATTCCAAAGAATATATTTTTCTTGTTTTCATCGAATTATTATTCAACGGCATATCAATTCCCAGTAGAAATTGGTAGTAAATGTTTACCTATTTTCAAATGAAAAGTACCATACTACTGCGTACATAGTAGATTAGAATACTTTTATAAGTACATACGCGTACGTACCTTAAACTGACTACTAGCGGTCGTCGAACGGAATTATTAAATCTTACAATATTACACATCGCATCACGGAAACGTGATAAAAATAATTTTAGAAACATGTTTTTTATATTGTTGCGAAAGTCTAATTGAAAGCATTAATCGGATGTACAGTACAGTACTATTGATCATATCACTTTACAAGATTAACTCAAGCATGCCTGCAAGCAGGACGGGTATTGTATGGAATTAGTAGAGAATTGAATTAATGACAATTATTGACAATTATTGACCTAATCTTAAAGTTTTATCATCCAATATGTTTCTAAACTAAACTATAACAGCTACGGTTGATAGACTTCACCAGTCGTAATTTATTTTAGATCATGTTTTATCACTTGTGTAAGCTTAATCTGTAAAATTGTGTTGCAATCAACTACTTCCATCAGTCAGCCTGATTGATTACAAAGATAATTCTAATTAATTACGATATTAATGATGGTAATTTTTAGCAGTTTGCTTTCAAAATGAAATTTATTGCGATTTTATGTTAGCACTGACGACAATTTTATTTTTATTCATGGTCACTACTATCCATTTAGTTGCGGTTCATCAATATACTCATCACCAAGTAGCAGTCAAAATCATTAATCGGACCAGAATTAAAAGCTTGGATGTTGCCAGTAAAATTCGACGTGAAATCCAAAATTTAAAGCTATTCCGCCATCCTCATATCATCAAGTTGTAAGCTACTTTAGGAGCAATTGAGTCTTCTCATTCTGATAGCATGTAACTTGTTTACATCTATGGTGTCATGCTATCTAGCGATGTATAGTTCTCGACTTTTATGCTATTACATTGTTATAACACATCAGTCATAAATCAGTAGCAATATTTTACAAGTTTAGTTTAATATGCTTTATTCCTTACATGGTAGTTAAAGGATGGTTGCATAGTTATTAAAGTAGTAGTTTTAAACTACTTTATGATACAGCAAGATTAAAATTAGTAATAAAGAATATATTATTGTAGGAGGATGAAGCATTTAGTACCAATAGCGTTTTAAATGATGATATATGGCACAGTAGCATAAAGCTTAATATTGATAAATTCATTGCAGGTATCAAGTCATAACAACGCCGTCTGATATATTTATGGTTATGGAATATGTTTCCGGCGGCGAATTGTTTGAATATATCATTAAGCGAGGCAGGGTAATAATTCATTACTGCTGTAATTATACGTTCTTCTTCCGGATAATTAATTTCCGATAATAAATTATACGTAATAATGTAATTTTTATGCGTAGAAAGTTAATAGCTTGTTTAATTTTAAAAAATTTTAGTTGAATGAGGCAGATGCCCGTCGTTTCTTTCAGCAAATTATATCTGGTGTAGATTACTGCCATCGGCACATGGTTGCCCACAGGTTAGTAATAATGTAATTAATTAATAATAACTAGCTTTCTTGTATGCTTTATTGATTACGTACCGTATCAAGGTTACGATAGACTAGGCATTGAAAAATTTTTAATAACTGTTCCCTTTTCCAAAGAATTTATCCGCGCATATCTATAATTTCCATAGAACGACCTGTTGTACAGTATAATGAAGTAAAGTAACAATATTTTAAAATACTATCGTTTCTTCCACTTGATGTTGTATATTGCCGTATGAGTAAATCTGTGTTTTATATTCGGTAAATGTTGCGCACCAAATACATTATACAGACTAGATAGTGTTTAAGAATAATACCAATTTCAAGTGGTACATATTACTAAATTACTGTAGGTTATCAGCCATTGAGCCTGTACTGGTCTATATCATTTCATTTCGTTGTCATATTTACCATTTTAGAGATCTAAAGCCGGAAAATTTACTATTGGATTCTAGCAATATGGTTAAAATAGCAGACTTTGGTAATATACTCCTCTATTTAATGCTATACTGGTCTCTAACATGGATATAAAATCAACATTTATTGATCAAAAATTTTTCTATGTACAAGTAAATGTAAATTATTGTTTAATTATCTTTATATCAGGACTATCAAATATGATGAAAGACGGTGAATTTCTACGAACGAGTTGTGGATCTCCAAATTATGCAGCGCCGGAAGTAATTTCTGGCAAGTACGTAAGCTTCCGTTTATCATGGAAATTTTAACGCTTTATTCATTAAAGTTGTACTTATCGGTGGTAATGTGTGCATGACATCTTATTTTTGGGACGCCTATTTAAATATGCTACTGGCTTGATCAATATAACGTTAATTATTACTTGCAGACCGTATGCAGGCCCAGAGGTTGATGTATGGAGTTGTGGGGTCATATTGTATGCGTTGTTATGTGGCTCGGTTAGTAGATAGTATGAAAGCATAAATTATAAAGGATACAGATTATAGACTTCATGAAAACTTGGAAAATGTATTATTGTCAATATACCGTAACAATGATTATAAGATTGGCAAAGAACAACTGACGGTTTAGCACAATTTCTTGTAACATTTCTAATGCTATAAATTTTGCAGCTTCCGTTTGATGATGAACATGTCCCTACGTTGTTTCGTAAGATAAAAAGTAAGAATAAATTTTTTTATTGAAATGACTATACTTACCTTTTTATTTCCAAAGCTTAACGGTGCTATTTTTTTAGGTGGTATTTATTCCGTTCCTTCTCATTTGTCAAGAGCCGCAACTGATTTGCTATCGATAATGCTACAAGTTGATCCATTAAAGAGAGCTGGCATTCAAAGAATTAGGTTAATTTTATGATTTCGGGAGCATTTTAGTTTAAATCCCTGCTGTTTCTTATCATCTTGCTGATTTTATTAGGGAGCATGAATGGTTTCAGGAAGATCTACCTGCCTACCTATTTCCCTCTAGCATTGATATTGATATCAGCCAAGTCGATGCAGCAGCAATTGTTGAAGTTTGTCAGGTACAGCTTGTCAAGTCTGCAGTGATTTGGGATTTCATAGTTAACTAAAATTTTAAATTTTGGTAAGGTATCTGGTTGTCATTCGTTTAAGCTAAAAATTATATAAATATTTTTTGACTAATGCTGCATGTATAGAAATTTGGTGTGGATGAAGCCGATGTACGAAATTCCATTAGCATTGGAAATAGACATGATCAGTTACTTATTGCCTATCATCTCATAATAGATAACAGACGGATAATGCATGAAGGTAGCAATTAAATGATCAAAATTTTGTTTTTCTAGATTTTCATCAATAATTCTTTTAATCTAATTACAGCCCAAAACCTAAGCTTGAATGATGCATATTATGGGTCTTCTCCGCATAAGAATGCTGGCTCGGTATGATTAGTCAAATTTATATACGGTTGAAAAAGATTTTCTCGTAATGTTATAATAGTGACTTTTTATTAAACTATTGTAGAGAAAAGCAGCTGATGGCAGAAATATGTTCTCGTCCCTTTACGGTATGTCACGCTATCATGATTAGCCTTCATCGTGTAACAAACTAGATCTAATCCATAGTTATTGATCAAATCTTTAGCAGCTTAAGATGAGTATGCTAACGGTAATTTAATATATATAATAAAAAGGTAAGAATACTCCAAATCGAAGTGATCAGCCCAAAAAAAAGAAATCTAAATGGCATTTAGGTTAGTTATTTGTAGACCTACTATCATGTCCGGGTACGTATTGTATTATAAGTATTGTATTGATACTCTACCAATACTTCGTGAAGGCATACGATCTCAAAGTCGACCACAGGATATTATGGGAGCCGTTTATAAAGCTTTAAAAAAGCTTGACTTTGTAAGTTTTTTTAATTACCGGTTAAGTCAACGCTAGCTTTAATTGTATTTTTCTTTTTGAATAGCAATGGAAAATCGTCAACAACTATCAAATTTTTTGCCGTCACAAGAACTATCCTGATGGTAGCCGTGTAAGTATTTGTATCGTTTCTGAAAAATTTTAATCACAATCATCTCATATCTTTCTCAACGTGTGCAAATAAAATTGGAACAAATAGGTTAAGGTAGGACTCCGATTATACCAAGTTGACGCTAGGACGTATCTATTGGATTTTCGAAATATCTTACCTCCAGAAATTGAAAGTGAATCTGGTAATGCTGACATAAAAATGAGTGAGAAAGGAGACCATTTCATGATGGAATTTTTTGAGATGTGTGCTGAATTAATAACAGCTCTAGCTCAACCGTAATGTAATTATCGTAGAATTTTACAAAGTGCTGACTTAAATTAATGGGTAGACTGTTACCGTCGTCGTCATTCATGTACTTTTATGATATGCAAAATTAAGATTGTATATCTTATATAAGTGATTAGTTACTTGCAATAGTGGATGGAGTAATTGATCACTATACACGTATTTTCAGCTACCTACTCCCATCACAGACTGTGGTGGTTAAATTGTGTCCAAATCGAGAAATTATAATAGGTTATTATTGGGAAGATATATTATGTACTTTACAGAATGCATAAATGCTTGAGTTGAAATAGTTAAAAAATTGACCATTTCTCGATATGGGCTCAAAAATCAATGTACAATGACGGTATTGATAACAATTTAAAAAAACATACGTGCATTTACAGTAAATTACAATAGAATCTACCAGATCTCCACTTTTATGATTTGTGATCAACAAATGTCGTTGGATTAAATAAATACTATATACATATTACTGGATATGAGCATGTACAGTACGATAACTCCTTGGAATAGCCACATTTAATACACGATTATTGGATGATTTGCTAATAAATGAACAACCTTTAATACTTGTTACTGTTTGTTAATCTTTGCTTACTGTATGAAAACTTTAATTGGCTCTGATAAAATCATTGAAGGCGTAATATTATTTGTTTGAAATAAAACAATAATTTACTCAGTTTATTAGTCCATGCTTTATTCTTACACTCGTCTTAATGGCAAAACTTTATTGCGGTAATTTGAAAATTATATAAATAATTCATTGTAGTTGTAGCGTAAAATTAAACTTTGTTATTGAATAAGTTACAACACTACAATTACTGTCTCGATATTATGGCTAGACTACTAAAGCTCAAGTATTCGTGCATAATTAGGCACTCTGCGTATCAAAATACCGTACGTTCTTGACCTTGCACACTGTAGAGTTTTAAAATGCCTAAATAAGATCTTAACTGATACCCAAAGTACAGTATCATATTCAGTTGCATTATCGGCTCAACAACTATAATTAATAGTAAAATTAGTACCAATCGGTGACTAGGCATTCTGATGTAACAGCAAGAATAAAGCTTTCTAAAGATTCAGTTTAGTAAGATGATAATTAGGAATTCATAACTGGCAAATACCATGGCATTGCCATATTGCTAGCGAACGTACTCTACAAAATTGTATCATTTATAATTATGTGCAGTATATGCATAGACTAAAAAATTATATTTAACTTTGTAACACAGATTTACTTTTTTAAGTTGAAGTTTGAGGTATACTTGACAAATGGTTACTGTTTAGATCATTTTCAATACAGTAGTTTAGATAACTGATTTGAATTTTCTCAACTATTATTTTATTACCGAAATCTATCAGAACTACTATAAAAACAGCGGAAATTGATATGCGTACTAAATGCCAAATTTACAAGAAAATTGCTATTTTAACATTAACCTATTATATGTATAAGTTTGTTTGTAGCATATACTGACTAAATGGCGTTAGTTAGAATTAAATTACTACACTTTTAAATGATATCAAATAAGTTTTATAGTATGCCAATCCAACTTTTGATCACTAAGCAAGATTTCAATTGGGGAATTTTACAAATGTTTCTACAGAAGCAAAAATTATAACCTTGAACATTAACGTTCTAGGATATTGCCTATAATAAAGGTTTAATTTACTGCTTAATAGCACCAATATTAGTAATATCTATTAAACTATCTATTCTATGATTTATTGTTATTTATCATGCAATTGTCCTTGTAATCGGCTATACTACACTTGCCTCCTTATAAAAGTAACTGTAAAAATGAAAATAGCTGCATTATTAGTTGGTAAGGCAATTCATTATTGACATCTTATTATAGGGCATACAGTTATCTACTCAATTTTTTTCAAGAGATTTTTACACAGGCATGTAATTAAAAGAACGATTTATATCATGTAAATTTACGCTTTATTATATCATGATAAAACTGAAATGTTTTTACATCTACTTGATTACTCTTATGTTATTTTGATATTGCGATCCTGGCTATAATATCGTATCGGGTTTAAGAATATAGTCATATTGCTATTATTGCTAAAAAATACAGAATGGATTTGAGCTTAGTTCTTTCATAAAAATTTAATATGCAGTATAAATTAATAACAGACCTAATGAAGCATCTTTGATATTATTATTGGATGAACAGATGTTTCATATTATCGTAATTATTGCGGTATTTCAGACGCTGTACAATATGATATGAATTATCTGAATACTTGAAATTAGATTTCACTTCTGATTGAAATTGCTCCACGTTATCTATTTGATAAAATTAAAAGTTATAATTAACTTCTGTTACTAAAATTAGTAGCCTAAATTTGATGTAAAGTGTTTCTTGAAATTTTTTGCGAAACTATCATTACAACTAGTAAGAATACAGTATACATCATTTAGGAAAGGGACATTAGCTTTTATATATCATTTACTTTTCTGGCATTAATATAAGTTAATGTTAACACCTATTGTATTACAGTATTTGAAGGGACTAATATAGACCAACTATTATACAACGGTCCAGATAACGATTATTTAAAAGTGTGAAAATTTTGCGATGGCACTGGATATTTGTAGAAAAGTTTTGAATTAGTTTATGTAATACTGATCGTTTTTAATACATCTGCTATAGCGATTATCACTGGTATTCCAGACACCTGGAATCTTGATTAGCGGTAGCTTATAGCTGCATAAGTACTATTAATAATTAATACTATATCTTTGCGGATATTCTTGATTATATTGTTGGAAAGATTTTTAAAATTTATCATCGTTTATCGATTACTATAGTTAGCTTAAGTTAGCGAATAATAAGATAGACTTGATAGAATTTCTTGCCCTACTGTACTTTTACGATATTTTAATACATAGCTATGAAATGAAGAATAGGTATACCGTACACTCGTGTTTTACACACATACGTATATACAATTATATAGGACAATTTGTTCAGTCAATATCAAATTAAAGGTAGTTATCCCATCCAGTCTACTTCTATATTCGATAGTTTAGTCAATTAACAATTAGGCGCATTTAGCCATTGCCTAGATAGTTCCTGTTTGCTAATTAAATCGTTGATGATAGTTATTGTAATTATTATAAACCATCAAGACGCCATAGTAAGGTATGTAATTATAACCAAGTGTTATCTTTTTAATTGATTTATAATTTAGCTAGCCATAACAATAACATGACGAGCCTTGTATATCATAATATTTTAACCACCCGGTGATTGCCCTTTCAACTAACGATATTTGATCCGCTAAGTCGAATATCGCTTTTAGTTTATTTAAAATTGACATAGAATTCAAGTTAGATTGTGCGTTGATGATTTTGGTTATCGTTAGAGTCAGTACGATAATGTTGAATCGCAACAGGTCAGCAGTGTAGTAAACAGTACGTTTATATTCGTATTGATCAGGTATTTTTGATAATAGTCATCGCGATGATTCTTAGTGTGGCCGTAGAATAGTGGTATAAACAATTCAAATGATATGTTGTTACTGTTGTATCATTGTAATTCATTATATATATTCGTGTATATAGGCTTCATTACTTCAAGAGTTGTTAAAAGTATTATATATATCTATACACATATACACAAAAAGGAAGGAGAGGAACGATACTAAGAAGCAAAATAAGTTATCTGCAGAAGATTTCATTTTCTTCGCACGAAGTAACCCGTTATCCATGATAGCTTAGCTGTCATGGATAGTAAGTACCAATGTAGACAATTTCAATCGATTACTATCTAGAAAATAGTGCCAATAACAAGGACATACTCGTAACGTCCTATTTCTACTTATACCTCACTCAGTTGAAAAGTGAAGAACAGGGACATCTCTGTCGAAGCTCATATCCAGTCCCGAGTCATTTCTTATTTAATCAGAGTAAATAATACGAGAATTTGATTTAGATGTCCCTATAATGATTATAAAGAGCTAAAGTAATTTCTACAAATTGGAGCTATGCAATTGATATTTTCATAACAATAGACCAAGCATTACTTGGAGGAGGGTATTATCACTTCGTGCGTCATCGACTGTGCGACAATAAATGTAAACAATTTACAATAGATGGAATAGAATAACAATTGTTAGACAGAAACACTAGCGATGCGGTTATTGGTTTTTTATTTTGTCTTAAAATTGATTGCAGAAGATAGAGGGGAAAAATTAAAAGAAATAGAAATAAAGTGTGTAACACAGTTAGACAATCGACTCGTTATAGATCTTTGATCTTAAAAATTGAATCGATCCAGCCAACATTTATCCTCCCCTCCTTCTCCCAATACCGCAACATATCATCATCTTCATTTGCGATTTCGACTTTGAAATTGATTTAGTTTCTCTTACTTTTAACATTAAAATAAAGAGTAAGTGTCCATTAAAGAAATAGGATCGTGAAGAAAAAGGAAAAAGTGGGGGGAAAAAATACGGGACTTTCTTTAGATAACAAAAAAAAATTCAAGGCCTTCATTGACTTGATGAATTTTTCTCATTTGCCTTCTCTACTGTATATAGGCGTTGCTTGTTAGATCACTATTGTTGATTGTATACACGAATTGGATCATGATTTTTTGTCTTATAGCCGCTAATGTCAATCATTATTATTTATTCGATCTGCTAACAGACTATTCATCAATGTACATATACGTTACTTTGTAACCATAACTGCACAGCGTTACCCTTCTAATGAGATGAATAGGCGTTCTTGCCTATATTCTATATAATAAAAGTTCCCCCCAAAAACGCATACACAACGGTCACATATTGTAAATATAATTATACGTCCACTTTTATTGATACAAGATTGCTTATGCATAACTTTGACTGTGTTACCGACATAGTCATTTTGATAGAGTATTCGTAGACTGTCATTTTTACATTTCTGTTTATCAAATAAATGCACTATAGGAGGCATTTAAATTTACAGCCAAGAAATTAAAAGTTCAAAGCGCCCGTATTCAGCAAATCAAGTTGATCATATAAATCGAGGTGGAATTTTCCATTGGCTATTTCGTCCATCAATCATTGTAGCCATTTCTTCCTATCTGTTCTTGGTAGTAACAAAAAGAGGTGAGTAAATTGCTGGCTGTCTTTTATGCTCTCACTCTTTACATGTAACATTTTAGAAAGATTAACAATGACGTTACGAGAAGACTACTACGAAATTAAAGCTTTGTAATTTTTATTACATATTGATTGATTTAGGAGTAGAAAGT